AGGAAGTTGGAAGTGATGTCATGCTGAACAAGAATCAGAGTCCGAATAACATTTTTTCATATTCGGACTCGAGTCCGAATAATCACTTCGAATTAAATAAATACTCTGTGGTGTCACGCACACGGTAACCGGGCTGTTCAGAACTCCAAGTTCAGTTTTTGTCATCCGGTTTTGCCTTCACCCCCACTCCTCCCCCGACTGTACTTTTAAAAAGAAAACTTTTGCGTATTTCTCAGAATTTGGTCTTCCACTCCTCTTCCCTTCCTGAAAGCAGCCTGCATTTCTGAGAACCAGCTGTTCTGCTTGGCCATGTCGTACAGTCGGTCTGATACCATTCTCTCCATTTAACTTTGATAACACAGGATGTGAGGCTTATCGGTCGAAACGACGTTAGTTCTGATGCTGGTTTGGCGGTCTTGAGGAGGGGGGCAATGATGGCGTCTATCTAGACTTGTGGGACATCTGCTGAGGGAGAAATGATAAAGTTAAAAATTAACAACAAAAATGTTAGAAGAGGAAAACCTTGCCAACTGCTATGGTACATATAGGTCACCACTTGGCGAATGAGGGACACAGTGAGTTCGCATTGTCATCCATTATGGACTGGGCTACAGACAGAACTTAAATAGTTTATAATTTTAATTACAGTGATGGCTCATCTCACACGATTTGTGTGTGAGTGGTGGGGGAGCTTATAAGTTATGAGGGATCACATGCTTGGAACCTCACCAGCAGCTGAAAAATTATCGTTACCAATAGGTCAAAATGGATAAATGAATGATTCATTCACTGGTGGGACTAACAATAACAACAGGACTATGACGGCTCATCCACTGCGTCAAGAACCAATACATAATTTATGACAAAGCGTCGGGCCTTGAGAGGTTTACGTGGCCATCTTAGACAGAAATCTTTTGTTTTTGGTTGACAAAATGGTGTCCACAGCTGCATTGGACAGGTGACTGTTTTACGCAGTGAATTTATAAAATAGCATAAAATGCAAGGCAGGGACCTAGAAAGTGGCCGTCGTGGCATGTTTGACTTTTGTATTTTAAATTAGCATCAAATTTTGTGTTCCCCCGTACTCTATACTTTCAGCTTTAAGTGCCAAGACTTCATACTCCCTTTCATGTCAACCGACTGTAACAACCATATTGACAAGAAAGCCATGCCATTTTACATTATTTTAAAATTATAACTACACTACGATAGCTTTGAATGCTTTGAATTTGTAGTAAATTTGACTGTAAGACTGATGAAAGATTTTAAATCTGGGATTATAGAAAAATGTATGAATCGCTGTTAAATATTTAATTTTGAAATGACTGAAATTGCTTTGTTGGGTGCTGTAATTTTTAAAAAATAAACATCTCAAATGGGGTATGAATTGTTGATTTAACCCTTTCACTGCAGTATAATCGTACCGATATTTCACCACTGTATATCTCATACACCGGTACAACCGGGGAGGAGGGGGGGGG